CAGTCCTGCTTCTTATCCAAACTCATCTTTATGTTGTCCTAACTTTATAGTTGATGATATGTAGAAGCCCCAGTCACACAGCAGAAGGCATTGCGATGACACTGTGCTTCAGAAAGGTAACGAAATATAACGTCTTGTCCCAAAGGGGAGACAGTACAGAGAGAGGAGAGACAGCAGGGAGTGTAAGGAAAATGGATTGTAAGGAAGGCTGGGAAGATACAGTGTATAAATAATAAAGGACCTATTAGAAGTAAGCAAAGGGGTCTGGAGGCAGTTTGCCTACCTGGATTAAACTTCTAGCAAAGCTATCTGAGGGCAGAAAAAGCATTACAATGAACAAACTAGCATTTGGGTACTTGTATTCATGAACCTAGGAGATGAATAGACAGAAAAATTGGACATTAGTGACCTTGAGTTATCTGAAACATTGTCACTCTGTTTATTCAGGCTAGCAAAACAAGGATACCCCTATCTAGCACAGTGGTGGTTGTTCTACAAATCATGTACAGTCCTGCAATGTTGGAATACTTTGGCACTCCAGCGCATTGAAATTTGTAAACATTTCTTCGGTGACAGATGCCAGTAGCAGACTTACAGTGACAGTAAACCGTTCTGTCTACACGGGACAGGATTTATTGTCCAGCCATTTGACTGGCAAACTTCCTCCATTTGTTTCTGTAAAATTTCCACAAAAGCACAGACATTACATAATGGGTAAACACCGCAAGGCTTTTTCGAGAGGCGGACTGGCAGGTCAGAGGTTAACGTCTGGATGACAGTGAAGATACAGATAAGCACAATAGCAAGAAAAACCCTCCAACTGGCCCAAAGGCGGTAAGTCCTTTGTGATCTTGAACCTGTGACTTCCCTGGAGGAATCTCCCTGTTTGCTTAACCTATTCGGGGAGCCGGGGAGCCCAGAGATCTGGGGCAGGGGGAGGTCTGCTTTGTGCAATTCAGCCAGGTTGGGAAGGAGGGGACTCAGAAACCTGAAACGGGGGTTTCAGATGGGTTCAGGCTGTCACACGAATGCAGGCTGGAGACAGTAGGTTTCCGGTTTATTTTAAGCGTCCAAGAGATGTTGTAAGAAGACAAGGAACTAAGATTAAACTTCAGAGTTTGGATTCAAATTTTATCTTGTTCCAAGTGTGAAGACCTCAGATTTCATGTGGAGTGTCTACATTTCCCTCATTTTACAGAGAAAAAAGGGCTAAGACATTTGCAGACACTCCACTCTTATGCCCGCAGGACTGCATAGGAAGCGAGAGCCCCAGCTGAGGTATTGAGGCTTGTCTGCCAGCAGCAGCCAGCTCTCTCCGTTGGCTGTACAGGATGGCGAAATTACATCCCTGAACCACCACACAGTAAAAAGCTTTCTCGTAGGATAAAGTTTGCAGAACTGTCAAATAGCATCTGGGAGATAAATTTGTATCAAAAGCCGGTGAAACGTAGGCTTCCAGTTGCTATGAAAATGGAACATAAGCTTTTGCATTGACTAAGTTATTTTAAAATTTTATCTCCAGGGAGACAACTGGAAAATATCATTCTGGGTTTGAATTATCCCAACCTTGGGAGCTGTCATGTCTTGAGATCTGTTTCTATTCCAATTCTCTCTTCTTAATCAGATTTTAAATATGACATTATATGTGGTCTTCATCTGACCACTGCAGACATCACGCTGTCCAAATAGTTGGCATCTAAAGCAGGACAGGTGACTCACACCCTACAGATGGCTGGTTTTCTTTACTGGCCTCAAAGGGACCCTCTCTCTACTAGATACCTAAAATTAGAGGAGATAAATCCCACTCTGTCTACTGGCTGCTCATTTTGCCGCAGACATCAGAAAACAGTGTGACCTGAATTGTCCATGCAGCCTTTACCCTTGCTGCTAGGACAGTCAGATATCCCATGCTTGGCTACATTAGAATTTGCAGCTGGTAGTTTCTAATAAGAGTCCTGCTGTTTGTTTCCTACCTTCTTTGAAAATTCATTTTACATCTCCACCTCCATTTCCTGACAAGTAAGATGGGAAATTTTTGGGAGTTCTTTTTTGGGACTAAAACGCTGTAGAAATACCTATCTAACTGAAATACTTGGATAAGGACAGTGCGTGGTGGTGTATTCGTGGCACCCAGTAGCGCCTCCACCTATTCTGCTCCTATTTTTCAGAGTTAAAAAACAGTATTTAAAGTATTAGGTAAGCACTTGATAAACAAATTCACCTGAAATGGTGAAATAAGAGGGCTTTGCCCCCTAAAGAGCATTTTAAAAAGCTGTATGACCACATAGGTAAAATATAGTTTACTTTTCTTTCTTTGTTTTTAAATTAAAATGGTGTTCTTTTCTTGCATTAAAATTAAAATTAAACTCCTAAAAGTAACAAAAGATACGATGAGCACCTCTAAATTCAGCACGGAAGGCAGAACTCTTTTGATTTTGTTGTATGG